TTCTCAGCCCCAGTCGGGGTACAGGAGGCAACTAATTGATGTGCTTCTCTTACATCTATGTCCTCCCCAGCCCTTCCACTCTAAAAATCAATGACAAAAAAATCCTTGGGTGAAGATTAACAACAACAAAAATGCACATGTGAGAAAGTGCTCGGAGTTTCAGGGTGCTGGCCAATTTAACAAACCTTTCCCTCTCACCAACATCACCCCATGTCAGAAGCATAATAGAGGATTGCACACTTCCCCTGCAGGTTCCCACAGGGACAGGGTACCCCAGCAGCTGGGATGCTGATGTTTTCTGGCCCACAGGAGAAGGTCCAATGACCTTTTAGCCCTGGGCTGGTGTGGCCAGACCCCCTTGAGAAGACCATGTGTTTTTTTTTGTTTTTTTTACTTAATATTTTTATAGATTTCAGAGAGGGAGAGAAACATCAATGATGAGAAAGAATCATTGATCAGTTGCCTCCTGCACCCTCTCTCTCCCCACCCCTACTGGGGATGGAGCCTGCAACAGAGGCATGTGCCCTTGCCAGAAATTGAACGTTGGTCTCCTGGTTCACAGGTCAGTGCTCAACCACTGAGCCACACCGGCCAGGCAACATAGCCTCTTTGAGGGAGCAGCAGTTTAACCCATAACAACAGTAACAAGGTTCTCTTCTGTTCCCCCTCTGCCCCAGGCGCCATATGTACCATGGCCCTTGTGTCGCCTGATTCCTGAATCGCAGAACTTCTCACCGAGCTCCATCAGCTGATCAAACAAACGCAGGTAACAGGCGACACCCTCCATTCCTACCGGGGAACGTGGGCTGTGATGCTGAGCTGTGGAGCAGTGGCGGGTGGGGTTGTGTTCAGAGAGATTGGATGGGCAGGACCCATGATGATGTCGTGAAGGTGAGAGGCGGGCAGGACTACCATTCCTGTTGGATTATCCATCGTGTGAGATATTAATTCACATGCCTTACAGTTCACCCGTTTAAAGTCTATAATTCATTTGTTTTTAGTCTATTCAACAAGCCGTGCAACCATCACCATGACCAACTTCAGAACATTTTACCCCATATTCAATAGCCGTTACTCCTTTCTCCTTCTACCCTGACCCAGGAAAATAAAGATACTCTTATGAGGCAAGATAGTCCAAGGGTTTAGAGGTTACATAAGGAAATGTAGATTACTAGGTTAGCAGCTGTTTAACCTGCAAAGCTCTAATCATGAGAAGAAAAGGAAGTGGAGGAAGGAAAGCCAGGTTATGTTTAAAATCGTTTTGTTTTTAAAATATATTTTTATTGATTTCAGAGAGGAAGGGAGAGGGAGAGAGGGATAGAAACATCAACGATGAGAGAGAATGTTAATCGGCTGCCTCCTACTGAGGATCGAGCCTGCAACCTGGACATGTGCCCTTGACCAAATTTGAACCCAGAACCCTTCAGTCCACAGGCCCACGCTCTATCCACTGAGCCAAACAGGCTAGGATGCATCCATTTTCTTATTGTTGAACTAATTTGATTATGCATTTTCCCTTTCACCTACCACTACTTGTATATTATGATAAATTCCTGTAGAAATATTTAGCACAGAAATCAGCTGATGGTAGCGAACTTTAGTTCTTCCTCACGCCCCTCATTTTCCATGAGTAATACACTGAGGCTTTGGCTCAGTCTCCCAATTCAGTTGGTCATCAATATCAGTGTTATCATAACACTTATTTACGTAAGTGTTCCTAGCAGTGCCCTGTGTTACACCACAATGAAGTATGGTCACGTAAAACTCCGTCTCGTTATGGAACAAGTCAGTAAAATCACAGGCTCTTCGTTATGTCTTCCCAATGGAATTGGCCCGGCCTGTTTACCAGATGTTGTTATGGGCAGGCTTTATTACAGCGGCCCTGATTCTGTTATTTCTGGGCATAAGGTCATTCACCCCGTCTCACCTCAGAGGCTTGTACTGAGCCTGGTTTCCCGTGTGTGCTCTCATACCCCGCAGCCCAACTCCCTCATGAGGGGAGGACAGGTGGTACTCAGAGTACCAATTCAGTTGGTCATCAATATCAGTGTTATCATAACACTTATTTACGTGTTCCTAGCAGTGCCCTGTGTTACACCACAATGAAGTATGGTCACGAAAAACTCCGTCTCATTATGGAACAAGTCAGTAAAATCACAGGCTCTTCGTTATGTCTTCCCAATGGAATTGGCCCTGCCTGTTTACCAGATGTTGTTATGGGCAGGCTTTATTACAGCGGCCCTGATTCTGTTATTTCTGGGGATAAGGCCATTCACCCCGTCTCAGTTCAGAGGCTTGTGCTGAGCCTGGTTTCCCGTGTGTGCTCTCTTACCCCCACGGCCCACCTCCCTCATGAGGGGAGGACAGGTGGTACCCAGAGACAAGTCCCAGCTCTGCTAGCTGTACTTTGGGATATGCCTTATTTTGGTCAATTCTTGGGTCGGGATAGTCACGGTACAGTGATATAACTTACATGTGCCCTGGCGGGCTTTTGGAGGAGGTGTGGAGGTCAGAGCATCCCATAGTGGTGCCCCTTGGGGCTCAGCAGGCAGTGTGGAGAGCCTGTGCCCTGTGACTACAGTAGCCTCCATCTGGATTGAAATAGTCAGGAGGCCTGGTGGGTCAGGGTGCGAGCCCCTTACCAGCAGCAGATGGGTCCTGGAATCATCCAGCATTGTGTGTGGAGCTGGCCGAAACCATTCACTGAAGCTTTGTCATCAT